CTGAGCCACAACACCTCGCATAAGCTGATCTGCCTGCTCCCGGGCTGACAAGAAGCTAACTACAAGAAAGTCAAGAGATCTCCACCTGCAAACAAGGCCAGTTTCCGACGGGCTGCTCAGAAAGACCAGCTCAGGAGGGTCTTTACCTACTCACAAACAGATTGGGGTGGGGGATGATGACAAACAAGAGGGGGGACTTTAAGTAAGTAAGAATTAAAGGGAGAAACGGCGAGAGCACCAACAACTTTTTCCACCGGGCTCTGCACACTAACAGCTTACAGTAGCGCCCAGAGCACAGAAGGAAGCGAGCCGCAAAGAAGAACGCTTCAGAAAACAGGCGAGACGGACAATAAAGAACGAGCTGAAGCTGTGCCCCCGAGTGTCCTCCTCTGTGCTAGGCTACAAACAGGGGCCTGAAGGATCAGACATTTTGAGATCTCTGGCAGCTGCCAGAGGGAGCCCAATTATTTGGGCACACTGTAACATGATGCCAAGGCAGTGACAGAGCACAGGGAAAGCGATCGGTGCACATGTTCAGTCTCATTTCCACTCACTTTTTATTAATGATGTCTGTATGCTCTGAACAAAAAAAATGATGCCAAAGCACCCCAATCTCAGTCACCTCTGCTCCTACATACTCTCTTAAGGTGGAGCTTGTACAGCCATTACTAAATTTGGCTGCAAGTCACTCACGAGATAAAGCCTCACAAAGCCAAATTTCTGCCAGGGAGACATTGTTCTGGATCAGTTATAAATCCCCTATAATTATACGTATTTAAAAGTACAGCCCTGACACAAGTTCAACTACAGCACCAAGGCAGTAACATGGTTTCAGGGATTGAGCCACGTCACAGGAGCATTACTCCACTAACGACAGGGTACAGGCACCTTAGGCAGCAAGAAAACAAGTGAAAGTCTGCAATGCAATAGAAAAAAGAAATCCAGCCAACCCTCTGGCACTGGTCTGATCTCAGACAGGTTACCATATTAAGGGTGAACACCTTAGACACCTTTCTACTCAACAGTCTAGTCTCTCTGCAGGAGAATTCACGTATACTGTAACCAAATATAGAAAGGCAAGCACAGGCAAGCTCAGGAAGTGCTTTGGAAGACGCATGAAATGTTAGCTCTCCGCTCCCATCCCCAAAAATTGACCCCAGGTTAAACTGGAGATGTGAGTACTGGTGGGTTACTTAAGACACCATGGGAGAGCAAGAACCCTCACCGCACCCAGAGCTGCGGTCTGGATCCAGCTGCTGGGAAAACGCCTCGCTCCAATTAACGCAGCAACGAAAGGGCCTCCGTGAGCGCATCCTCCACTTAACGCTCTCAGGAGAGGGAAGCAGGTAAGAAGGAGCAAGAAGTCCAGATGCTTGGCAGCCAAAGGCTGACGCATGGAAAGGGAGCATACATACTTTCTAACCAGCTGTCACTTCGAGCTGCAGCCTTCACTATTTGTTTTAGGACATATTAAACAAATCTCCCTAGATAACGGTACATAGCTTGCAGTGAGTAAAGTCACTCTGCGGGTACTTGCCTATTGAAAAGCCATATCATTCCTATTAAATGGGCTCCATATTGGTATGTAAACTGGATACATTGTTAAAACACACACACACACCCCGCATAGGAAAGTTGATACCACCTTAACTGACAAGCAATCTGAAGCAATTTCACTGAATTATGTGTTGGTACTCAAAATCCTTGCACTGCTCCATGCACATAGATATTTCATGTCACATGTTCTGGCACTAAGACAAATATAGCCATAATATTTGCTGGCAAGCAGAAAAATAAAACAATGCTAGAGTGCACAGAGGAGATTCAGACTTCCTGAAGACACAATGGTCTGTTTCTGGACATCAGAAGGGCAGCAAGATGTACCCACGCAAGGAAAAAAAACCCACAGGAACTTAGCAAAAATTTACCTGTTTTAAAAAAAAGTCTAAGGCCATGTCTGCACCTCAGGGCGTCTCTTTTCCATGATGTTGTCACGGACAGACACTTGATTGTTGTGGTCAAGAAGTGAGCTCTCCCGTTCTGTGGATTACATTCCCACCGCGCTCTGACGGCGCTCCAGACAGAACAGCAGCCCTTTGGAGATGGTTATTTAAGCAAGCTAAAGCAGTCTTGAAAGACTGGAAGAGCTGTTTGCTTCCTTTAAAGATCCACCTCAAACACTGCCAGTCTGAACTGCTACATGGGAAACAGAATGAAATTACCTGCGAGTAACTGCTCTTCTGGAGCTGCCTCTGTGCACCTTTAAGCAGGAGGAAGTTGTAAAGTGCTGCCTGCAAGAGCACAGGAGACGCGGAGCGTATCGCCTCTCGCAAATCAAAGTCAGTGAACAAAACCAAGCCAGGGATGGAGGTATTGGAAATATCTGTCCCAAACAGCACAGATGCTCTCATGAGTTACCGCGCTTGAGTTAGGCTCAGCCAGGCTCTGGTCTGGGTCTCAGGACAGGAAGGGTGGTTAGGTCCATTCATCCCGATGCTTGTGCCGTGCAACAGAGGAAAGAGCCTTGCTGGAACAGCACAGCAGCCAGGTGTCCAGAGCCTCCAGGTCAGCTGGAGCCTGTGCCAAAAGCAACACTGCCACCAACGAGTCCACACAGGGAATGCACCAGCGCGGTACAAGGAGAACGACGCTTTTCCTCAGCCTCTCTGCAAGTCAAGCGGTCTCCTTTCCACCTCCTGTTCCCAACAGGAAAGGGCTGGCCCAGACAGCCTACCTTTCCCTTCATTTCAGAGACGGGCAAAGTGAGGTTTGGTGTACCTAATGGACCTAATAATCCTGCTCTGCCACAAGAGTGCTACCACATCCCCAAGACGCACAGCTTTCCTGTACTTTTCCAGCTTTGCTGCAACCTACTAGCACAGAGTCACAGAAAGAGCAGTTTACCTTTTGGCAAGTTAAGGGAACACCATGTCATGGGACCTGGAAGTCAGCTGGAACACATCAGAAGTGGGAAATTAATGTTTTGGCCTACAAGCACTGAAATGAAAGACTGCATCAGCCTCCAAAACACTGTGGCCAACAGTCAGCCGCATTTTTACAGTATCAGTTACCATACAGACACCTACTTGCTATGGGAGGAAAGGAACTTAGCATGCCATGAACAAACCCCTGCTTGCAAAGACATGAGCAGATGGTAACTCAAGGGTTTCAGAAAGCCCTCCCCTTTAAAATAAGTGGCTTCTTTACCAGAAAGAAATCAAAATCTGTTATCAGAAACAGGTACCGTTAACTATTTAATCCTTTCAAGAAGGGAAGTTCCAGGCCTGGTAAGGAGTACGCACTTTCAGCCAGATTCGATAAAAATTAAATTAGGCTTCAGATTCTTTATCGAAGGGGGCCCTTCAGTGTTAACACTCAGTTGCGAGGATGGGGGAAGGGAGGGGGGAGAAACTGCAGCTTTCCTAGGAGTCCTAGGAGTTTCCAGAGCACCTTCCCCTTTCCTTAACTGACCTGCAGGAAAGGGCAAGCTGGAGGAGAGTATTCTACTCGATCCAAAATTAGCAGAAACGGACAGGAATTCTTTAAACCACCGGCTATTTAAAAAGCCTGAAGGTCAGACAGTTAGGAACTTCAGTACTAGCCTGCTTTGTGTCAAAGTAACCCAAATTAAGAACAGAGATTAAACCTCTCCAGTTTGACTTATGAATGATTTTGAAACCAAGGACTGCCTATTGAAGATTTAGCTCTTTATCAGTAATCTGGAATTATAAACTAGAGCAAGAGCAGAATTCCTCCCCTCTGAATTTCAGACACCTTTCAGAAGCAATCAGCCGAGCTGAACTGGACAGGAACAGGACCGTTCTAAAGGGACGCACACGCAGACACTTCAAATCACGCCATTCAGCTGCATTAGCCAATACACTCGCGTTCGAGTCGCACCTGAACGACAAGAGGCGATGGGCACTGGAGCACATTTTCATCAACAGTAATACAAACCAGATGATTCAGACTTGCCTCCTGCCACCTACTCTAGCAACCCTCCAATAAATCACTCCCAGATATCTTGCACATCCAAGGAAGTAGGCTCTCCATTTCACTTCCCTAAAACAACTTAAAAAAAATAAAATAATAAAAAAAATCAAAACAAAATTCTCAAATGATGGTAAAATCCCCTAAGGGAAAACAAGAGAGCTATAAAACATGTTTTGTTTCTGACTTGATACAGACTGTAATTATCTCCGATTGCACCTCTGTAGGTGAGCAGGCTTTACTGACTATCTAAAAAACGCCGGTGTCAGTTTAGAACCAACCTCCAGAAGTTAAGAGACTCCTCGGGAGAAGGAGGCCAGGCGAGGAGACAAGACACTCTGCTCAGCTCAGGCTGCAAAGACGCAGGGCAGAAGTCTAGACGCGTAGCAAGCGCTGTCAGTGACTCCCCCCACCTCCCGAGTCTACTCCTCCTCCTCACCACGACCCCTTTGCTCATCGCCAATCCTCCTCCTGAGGCACTGACTACACTCCCTCTTCGAAGAAAAGCTACGTGAAATGCAACATCTTCAGTTGGAGAGCATGCAAGACCAGATTGGCCACGTCTTTCCTCCTCCCCAGATGTTGGGAGGAAAAACTGCTCCAAAAGGTCTTTTTGCTCAGATTCCTAGAAGGCAAACTTGGAAAACAAGCAGCATAAAACTGCAATGGAAACATCCTCCGCTTTCTCTACCTACTGTCAGTAACTTCCTTATGTAAACAGCCAGCCACCTGAGGCACAGACGCTCCTCCCAAAGATGCTGGGACCCCACATCCTACACTTCATCACAAACTAAATATTACTGCCACCCAATCTAATTCCAGGCCTCTTTCTCCGCTCTCTGCCATCATCTAGCACCAGCCAGTTTCCACAACCCTTCCTAGCTTATAAGCACAGGAGCCATCCTCTCTGCAGCCCCTGTCAGCTCGAGCCGCGGTTTCACTGGTTTTCAGCCTCTGCAGCTCGCCTTCATTCTGGTTCGCAGCGTCCCCGCAGGTGCGTCAGATACGAGGCAGAACATTGCCTTGTTCTGCGTGGCAGTTCAGTACAGAAATGCAACAGCAGCTAGAAGATTTATAGGTGAGGGGAGAAGCGGAAGGAGCCAAGCTAAGCACGTTTTGGCTAAAGTGCACACACAGCGAGTGGCCTAGTACGCAGAGACCCACCAACGAGCCCGCCTGTGCGGATGCGCAGGTCATTTAGCTGAAGTTCAGCACAGCCAGTGGCAAGGCAGTCATTAGTTTCAGCATCATGTGCTCTTCTATAGGTTCTTTTACCTTTAGGCAGTTTCACTTCTCTGGTGCTAGAAATACAGGTTTTCCATTCCCAGACAAACAAAACAGCAGCCCAATTTTCCATTTACATTTGATACAGCACCCACAATTGCACACACCATGCAAAAAAGAAAACCAAAAAACGTATTTTAAAAGCTGGAACAAGTGAGTTCAGCCAAAAAATGAACATTATACTGGAGAAGCTGGTATATCTAGGGACCAGTTATACACGATTCTTAACATGCAATCTGTACAGGGCTGTACAGACTAAGTATCATTCTGATATTTACTCAATGAAGATGACACCGAGCAACAGAAAGTTGGCAGTGACAGCAAGTTAGTTTCACCTTGAGCTTATTCAGTGAACCTGGAGCTCCAGGACAGGACAACCCAATCACATGTTCTTTTCAGGCGCCTTCATTTTGTTAACCCACGCTTTTGTTTTCCTCAAGTCCTACATGACCAATCACATCATCCACCCAATACTCAGACCCTCTAGAACTAATTGATGGGCTGTGATTAACAAGTTTACACATGAAGCTGAAGGAAAATCACAAAAATGCCTCTGCTTGACAGCCTGTGCCATCCTATCCACCTGACCAGCAGCGTCCAGAAAGAAAACTTTACAAAACAACACAACACATGATCAACCATCTCCTGCAGGAACAAGCACCCCCCGACCTCTCTAAGGGCAGAGGGAGGCTGCAGACCAGTGCTTGCAGGTGCAAGGAAAAAAAAAAAAGAGAGAAAAAAAAAAAGAGAGAGACAGACAGAAATTCTCCAATTTATTTCTTCGAATACGAGCCAGACCAAGAGATGCAATCTACACCTCCCATTTCTCATCCAGAGTCCAAGAACTGGTAGAGAGAAGCTGAGGCCAAGGCCAGGACATCCAGAAGCTGCAGCATGAAGGCCAGTCACCTTCCACTGCAAGACTGCGAGCTCCCATGCCTGGACTTCTCACCCTCCTCCAGGCGCCCACCAGCCATGCAGGATCATCCCGTGAAGCATGCATCAGCCAAGACCGAGGCGTTGCTGCAGGCAGGATGCTCTGCTGCTCCATCCTTAAGCCGCGCAAAGCAATTTCCTCTTTTCCTCCTCTACTGACTACGCCATGAGGAATCTCAAAGCTGCCTCCTCCTCGAGCTTGCAAGAAGTTTTAGCCCTTGCTGACTACTCCAAAATACTTTTGGCAACATTACTTGTGCCTTCCTGTGAAGCTGTTTATACTGGCCACCATCACAGGCATCAGAGGTAAGACGGACTCTTCAACAGATGAAGCCTGACATTTTTTAAAGGAAAAAATTCCCTGGCCACGTGTTTCCAGCGACACAAGGTCTCCCCAGTCCCTCCCCCC